GCCGTGGCTCTGGTGCCCGCCCCGGGACCTTTGCGAGCCGCTGGGTGCACGGAGGTGCTGATGTGGTTGGAGGTGTCGTCTCCGTGTTTCCCCTGCCCTGATCCGGAGGAGGCAAGGAGCAGAAGGTGCTGAGAAATGACCGTCCAGCCCTCTGGCCCAGGCCAGCACCCGGCGTGACAAGGTTGGCCTGCTCTGGCCCAGGGCGATACCCTAGATGACAGAGTTGGCCTTGCAGTTAATAACACCCAGTCGTGTTGGCTGAAGGTGGTTAAAAACAAAAGTTTCTGTGGCATGCCCAGTTAGGCAAGCATTTGAAGTGTGCTATACCTAGCTTTGGGACAGCACCTTTGTGCGGACAGATTCCTGCACGTTTCACACTGAAACTGAAGTCTTGGCTGCTTTGGTAGTTTTTGCAGTCAAATCTTTGTTCAGCATTGGGTTGTTTTAATCTCATGTCTCGGCGTTCACTGAGTCTTGTAGGCCTTTAAGTGAATCTGAGACCTAGGCGCTGACCTGTTGTGGTTTGTATTCATAGAAGTAGGAATATATGCTAAAAGCAATGTAGTCTAGGAGTATAGTTAAAGAGCAGGAAAAAAACCACCAGGGTCTTTAGACATAACATTTTGGACAGTGTGTGAGAGCTTGACGAACAATTCCTGTATTTAAAAAAAAAAAACCTGTAACAGCAATATGATTATGTGTATGAAGATGAGTGCAAAAAACCAATAGGACTCTTGTATATCATTTCTCGTATAAATAGTGTCCTGAAAGGCTTGTAGTTAGTTCTGTGTTGACATAGCAAGACAATCAGCAGTATTCCCATAGAGTGAGTAAAGAGGCATTCTCCTAAGCTAGTTTTCTTTCTTATGTTAAGCTTTATTCTTCTTAGCAGCTAGTGTCATCATCTTAAGGCTTTGATTTGCTCTAAATTAGGTACACTAAATTCCTCTCTCTCTGAGGATGGCTTCTCTGGGTTACAGGCAGACACCAAAGGTGGCTCTGGCGGAATTGGTAAGGTCGGGCACAGCACGGTTATGCTGCTTCCAACATCAGGTCTTGCTGGAAGCACAGTTCTTGTAGTGAAATGATGTTCCATTGCTAATATAAAAATTACAAATCTATTTGGAGGTTTTTACTTCTTCCTATACAAACGGATGCTAGCTTGATTTTGAAAAGAGGTTTCCTCCTTCCTCTTTTGGGGAGGAGCATACTTTGATCAGCTTGAATTTCCAAATGGTTTAATAGAAAAACAGTTACCTTAATAAATAGTAAAATAGGCCTTAGCATAAGTGAGCAGGCTAACCAAAACAAATTCAAGAGTAACGGGGAAAAAAAAAAAAGTAATATATTTGGGTGAATAACTGCTTACCCACTACCTATTAAAATATATGCAGCATAAACTAGAAGGGAAACAAAAGTATGGAACTGTGCCTAAATGTTCTTTGGCAAATGAGGGAGAATTAGGCTGCTGGCTCTCAACTTTAAATCCATTCCATTGGGATGCGCACTTGGCTGCTCACACCTCACAGGGGGTGAGGAGTAGATGTCAGCTATTTTTATTTTTTAACAAATACTTTTTCTGCTTTCCTAAAAGTTATAAAGCTAAACCATCGTGCTTTGGTAAGACCAGTTAAAATCACTATTTCATACAGAAAGGTATAAAAAGTAACACAATGCACTTAAAGGACTTTGAGCAGGGTATTTGGGTTTTGGTTATCTCTTGTTTTATTATTATTTTATTTTTTTAATGCCCACTATCTTCTTAGCTGTGAACTTTTCCTCTTGTTTCTTTCAACACAGGTTTTGGTGGGAGAGAACAAAGATAAAATTTATATGCCCCAAAAAAATGAAATTTCATTGAATGGATTTAAGCTAACACCTAAAGTGCTGAATTTTTACAATGATCATATTAGAGCTTTTCAATGTTTTATTTTCTATTCTATTTCTAATTACGGGTGTGGGGTTGATGCTAGTAAAGGTGAAGTTCTTTAATTACGTCAATACAACTTTTCAGCACAGGCACTACTTAAAGTGAAGTAGTAGTGTGTTCTGAGAGGAGTTTTGCGGTTGACATGAGCTAAATTAGGAGAAGTCTTTTTCATACCACTTGAAATAAACATACGAAGTTATTATCGATTGTATTTATAGTGTTTAAACTTGCTACCTGAAACTCCTGTAGCTTTTTGTATAAGCAGACTCTTTGCACAGACTCTTTAACAAAACATTGTTTCGCCATAGAAAAATACATACTTCTAGCTCATTAGTTGTAACGTCTTTCTCACGCTATCAGATTTGTCTGCTCACTTTTCATGACATTCACCCCTGATTTTAGCCTCCCTTCAAAAACCAGTTGAATGGGATTTGCAGCTCAGGGAGAGCTGTGCCAGACAAGGCGTCTGTGTGGTGGAGCTGTTCTTAAATATCTACTGTTTTCAAAAGTGCTTTATTTTGATTTAGCTTTTCCCCTTGGAATTATAGCATCTTGTGTTACCTTGCAGTTAACTGGATTTCATGCAGGAAGGTATCCTGCGATTTAGGAGATTGGTGCGTAAAATGGAAATGATCTCTCCTCTTCCTGACAGCGTGGCAGCAAGAACAGCAAACTTGTGATCAATTTTCTTGGTTATTTTAGAGTAATTCTTTTGTCATTTGATAATATCACATAGTCATCCACTGCAGAAAAAAGTTGATTTTAAAAAAAAAAAAAGAAGTTTAAAATCGAGTACTTCAGTCAGGAAACGCCACGGTTGTCTCCTCACTGAGTGGTGACTTTTCCATCCTTGTTTTTCTGCTCAGCATAAATGCTTTATAATAGCTTGATGCCACATTTTGAAAGATTCTCTTTTTCAGTGCCTTCTCTGTCCTGTCTAGCGTACAGGGTAGACAGTGATTGCTTAAGGACCAATTACTTAATGTTTTCTTTGATGATGTCCCTAGCAGGTTTTGGAGGATGAACATGGTATCAGTTTGGTTTGGCAAAACCGTTATGAAATGAAACTCTGTTCATTTCCGAATAATAAAAGGAAAAAGGAAAGAATAATCTTAATTGGTATTTTTAACATTTGAACTCTAGAGCTTATTGTTTTAAAACATTTTTTTCTTCTTCCCCTCTACACCCCACTACCTCTCTGTTGACTTTTATTCAAATAAAAGTGAGTCCTGTTTCTGGGGGGCAGGGCTGGCTTCATCACACAGATCTCTACAGTTGAGCTGAGAGTATGCTGAACTCTTAAACCAACACCTTCTGTGTGGGCCTTGCAAAAATAGGTATAAGATGTGCTTTGAGAGTTGTGAAATGTTTCGCATTTTCTGATGACAGAGGGATGGAGTGAGACATTGCGATTCCAGCTCTTTAAGGTAGTAACTCAAGGGGCTTTTGTTCTGCTTTTGTTCTTTCTTATTTCTTTAAATCACTTGTTGTCCTACATCACTTCTTTTGCCTATACATCAACTCTTTGTTAGGAGGTTTTCCCTTCTCAAGGGAGTGATTACAACCTTTTTTTTGCTTGCAGATCTGTCTAATTCTAGGGGGGTATTAGGCATGTTCTCGCCTCGGTTCTTCTGTTTGGCTGCATTGTTTTGGAGCAACTGGACAGCTTCTTCAGGCTTACTTATATGCTCTCGGGTGGGGTATATTGATTGGAGCTAGAAATACTGGAACCAAATGTGTTTGGTGAAGCTCTTTTCTTAGCTGTTAAATGAAGATTTACAGAAAACACACGAACATATTTTTTTCCTCTATCCAAGTAGATAACTGGCCAAATCTGGAAGAATTCCTATGAAGAATGCAATGTACAGTCATGATGTTATCTTTCCTAAGGTAACCATTGGGTTACCTTTTTTTAAACTTCAAGCTCTTCTTTTAAAGTATATTTAAACACTTCCTAAGCTATCATATACAAAAACAAACACTGAGGAGAAAGGTGTTTTTGTTTTTTTTTTACCCTGCCTGAGAGAAAATTATTTTGCCATGTTTTTTGAGGAATATATGTTTTGGGAAAATTTTGACGCTTTCCAGATTTCTGCCTCAGCCTGAATTATTTTGGAAAGTAAAACTTCAACTTGTGCAATTAAAATATGGCAGAAGTATAAAACATTAGTGATCAGGTGTTAAATGGGATGCATTTGGCAACTTCAAAAAGAGTGCGAGCCACTTACAGGAGGCCAGCCAAGCGAGAAGGTCATTCTCATTCCTCTCATGTGTTACTGTGTTCTCGCATTAATGTTTTTCTCAAAAGGTGCTAAAAATTGTTGACTTTTCCCTGTTTTCTTTTGGGTTTAGGTTATTCAGCTTCTGAAAGCTGGGAAAGCAAAGGAAGTTTCTTACAATGCACTGGCTTCACATATTATTTCAGAAGATGGGGACAATCCAGAAGTTGGAGAATCTCGTGAAGTTTTTGATCTCCCTGTGGTAAAGGTGACTGACTCATCTATGATATTGTCAAAGTACTGATATGGATACTTCATTGTTATAAAAGCAAATATTCACATTTAGCTGATGACCAAATGAAACATATCTTTAAAAATCTTTTATTCTTGTTACACAAACTTTTATCCTGACTGATAGACTTCTAGAATTCTGTTCTCTCCTTTCTCTTGTTGCTTTGTATCCATCAGTGGTTTGGGTTCTTTTTTCTGTTTTGTTTTGGTTTTTTTCCAGATTCTTCGTTCAGTTATCTGTGAGTTGGTGTCCTATTAACTGTACTTTAGAAATGTTTCTGACGGGAAGGATCTTACAAGCTTCTGGCAGTGGAAAACCTCAATTTACAATAAGTAGTAGACAGCTGAGGGGTTTTTTTTTTAAACACATATAATCAGCAAGATGCAAAATAATTTTGTTGATTCTGCATGTGTGTGCTACACTAATTTTAAACAATAGGAACTTGTAGAAAAACGTTTTTTCTCTTGATTTTTAGTTTATTTTTTTTTCTTTTTCTTTTTTTTTCTTACACTGGAATTACCAGTATTTCGTTGCTATCTTGCCATACTGGGTTATTTTTCCAGTGAAAGATTCTGGGCTTCATGTTTGAAAATGGGAACTTGTCCCTCAGCAAGTCATGAGAGTGAGTAGAAGAAAAAACACCAGTATTTCACTGCCATTACCTTTAGGTACATGATTTTGGGCTATTTTTTCCATATGGTTGCAGGTGGCAGTAAGGAATTTTGATAGCTTATGTCAGGAGAGTCCACCTGACAGTGTAGAATTATTAATTAATTCCAAAAAATAAAAGGTGCTTAGCTAGAGACCTTATGGTTATAGTGAGTGTGCTGATTAATTTTTAGTTCCTTTTCTGAAGTGTTCTGTGGCATAATTTTAGTCTTACAAACAAGATGACTGCTGCCATTCTCATGTGAAGGAAGGACATCAGCATTGTAATGGTGCTTTCTGCTTTCTAATGCCATTTACTTAAACAATTAAATTTTCTTAGTTTGACCTGAAAACCTCACAGTGTGATCTGTAATCAAGAAGATTAGACTAAATATTAAGGGAATGAAAGTCAGAGGCAAAGGTAGCATGTTATTGAGAGAAAAGGCATAGAGAATAAGAAAAATAAAAACTTGAGGGAGGAAAATACCCCATTTTTTTTGCAGAGGATTGGGGAATTGTCAGTTAGATGTTTTTAGTTCATTTTTAAAAGCCTTTTTCTAAGGGAGAGAGAATAGCAAGAATTGGGACACCATATATGTAATTACCACAATATAGTTGTTTGTTTTTTGAGGAAAAGTAATTTCATATTGCTTATATGCTGTATTGGGACTGATGTCCTGTATCTCTTCCCTTCTCCACCACCTCCCTCTCTCCCAGAGGGGGGGATACTGTCCCATAATACTGTCAGTGAGGGGCTGTGTGCTGAGCAGCCCTTGGGGCTGTGTATTTAGAAACATCTTTCTATATAAGGTTATAGTTCCTGACTCCTTGGCGATCAGTGTAAGGATCGGGGATTTTTTTTTTTTAGAGCACAGAAAACTGACAAAAGAGAGAGGATGAATAAATACTGTAAATGGTTTTCCTGGCACAATAGAAGGACAAGAGAAGGTGGTATTGCTCCCATATTGCTGCACAACCTTTGAGCAGTCTTTATATTAACTCTTACGAAATAAATCAGAACAGTATTTTTTGAAAAGACCTAAGTACAATGTCTGTGAAATGCTTAGACTTTAAAAGTTTGGAGATGTATACTGAAACTAGCTATAGGATGAACTTGGAAGGTAATTCACAGTTCACACATGCAGACCAAGGTTTTTAATGTCTGTTGGTTTTTATTTTTCAGCCTTCCTGGGTGATCTTGTCTGTTCGCTGTGGAGCTCTTCTGCCGTATCCTTTAAGTTCAACTTTGAATCAATTCTATAGGAAACATGTTAAAATAGACACCACCGAGGAATTAAAGACTACTTCAAGTATGTATAGCTTAAATTTTTAAAAAGATAATGTGTTTTCCTTGCCAGGATTGCAGCGTGCTTGGAGTTTCTTTGTCTTCAGTTTTCCTGCCTTTTTGGCTATTTTGGATGCTTACTAGGCACTTGCAAGGAAACTGTCATCTGATGGACTCAAAACATTTTAGCTGGAAGTTGATAACTAAATGTGAGGATCCAGGCAAAACGCTGGAGTTCAGAAAGTGGGCAGATGTTGGTTCAGAGTAAAATGGCCTATTCTGCCCTTTCTAGAAGCAGAATTAAGTGAGAGATAAATAGGCAATAACTCATATCAGCACTATATTATAAATAACAATTTATTAATGGATAGTGTTAGTATTACCATTTTTGGGATAGTATGTCCTTGCCTTTGGTAGATCTTTCTTGTTTGTTTGGCTAGATTTATGTTTCTTCACTTGTTTGGAGCATATATTCTTGCATGTGGGTGGCATATTCCTTCCTCTTCTTGTCAGTTATTACTTTTTCATCTTTATTTATGTTCCCCTCAATTTTTTCTTTGGATCATAGGAATTGTGACAATGGCTATTATTATAGAAAAAAAAATCATGTGTCTTTTTCTCAGACCATTCATAATAAAGATTCTGTAAATAGAGAAGCTGAAGCAGAGCAATACATTTCAGCACAGATATGAGTGGATGATTGCAACAAACAATGCCAGGACTAGGGAGGTATGCTGTCAGGCAGGAGATCTCATTTTGGAATGAGGTTAGCAGGTGGTCGCGTCTATAATGGAAAACAAGAGATGGTAGATGCAAGAATCCAGGTGTTTGTATTAGGAATTCAGGTCTTAATGTGCTTCAGTGATTCAGAATTTGTGTTTTATACCCAGTATTTCAAGGTATGTGCCTTTGCATCTCGCTGTGTCTTGTCTCTTGTGGAAACAGTCTGTGTATTCTCTACGTCCCCAAGAGAATTCAGCTCAGGGAGTGAACTGTAGGAAGAGAAAGCATTGAATTAGTCAGAGAAAATAATGTAGGGAGGTCTTTGCAGCTGTTTTGGTCACGATAATCAGCATGTCAGATAGGATTCAGCAGTGTGGAACACTTGCCATAGTCATGGATAGTCTTCTGACCTAGGAGAAGAAGGTTTTCCAATTAATGACTTGGCTTCCAAATGGAAAAAATGTACCAAACATGACATGGCAAAACCCAAATTAGCAGAGCTACTCCTGTATTAAAAGTAATTTGATTATTGTGATGAGATCTAGGCTGGTGATTTTTGCACTTTGCATCTGGAAATAATGCGTTTATCATCCTTTCATCATCAGGATGGGAGCGTACAGTTGCTTACGTCACACGTCTGTAAGCTGTCTCCCTGTTCCTGAGGACTAGTTGAAAAAAAAAACACCAAACCAGCTTGGATTTAGGTACATTTTCAGGCTTAAGTAATCTAGCATTGCATTACTCGTGTTGTGCTTTCCCATGCAGAAGTTGCACTATTTGAAAATCGGTCTTCCGTCTGAAGCCAGGGGTTTTTAAAAGGATGATCTAAGAGCTGATGTTATTACATAGCCAGAAAAGTCAACAGCTAAAACCATTGAGTGATGCAGTCCATAACTAAATTGTAGCAATAAATGTGAGTGTAGCCCTGAATGGCTGTTGCTCAGGAAGTCTTCATTGTGGGTATATGGGAGTGGCCAAATGAAAACACCAGGTCTCACTAGTATCATATTCTTGGGTCTCATGGAATTAGGAAGTTCTGTACACCTGTCAGCAGTAAACGGCTCCTTGGACCTTTGACTTTATTCTTTCTAGTGCTTCACGTCCTTAGAACCTGGTGGGTTTAGATTTTATTCTGAGCCTTAAGTGCTCACTAAAATGGGTTGTTAAGTCTTAACTTTGTTGTGTTTCAGTCTCTTTACGACTTTTAGTGCAGTGGCATCTGGCCTTTCATTAGGGTTTTAGGTACTGCCATAAGGAGAAAAATGTAGTTAATAGGAATAGCTTACTTTTTCCAGTTAAATGGTTTTGGACCCTGTTTAGGCAGGGGTTTGAGATTCTGCATTTTCATCTTTTGTTTATGTTTTAATGTGGAGATGTAATACTCAAAGTTGCCATTAAATTTACTGAAGAAGCAAGTCCTAGAAACTTCTTCCGTCAGTTAGATATATGGACCTAATAAGAGCCTTAAGGATTTTATGTATGCTTACCAGTTTGGGTACTTATTTGATGGGCATTTACCTGTCAGTTCTTAAAGGTGAAGTTTAATGTAGAAAGATTTAATGCAATATAGAAGTGTAATAATGTTGCCTGTTTCTTAGAAATACATTTTAACATTCCACTGTGAAAGTTGTTTTCATCAGGGGAAACTTCAGGAGGCAGAGTGTTCTGTTCACTGCTAACTGATGTTAGCACAATCTGACTAACCTGCAGTTGAAGGGGAGTAACAGAAAAATGAATCTGGAAGCAGCCTTCCTGAAGGAGGACATAGAGTTTTGTGTGTGAAAACCTCAGCTATAATGCCATAAAGAGGGCTGGTGATTTCTTTATTAATTCTCTTGATGGCAGCAAAAGCAAGAATGAGGAGGGATTATTTTTCCATGGTCTTGCACAGATGAAAGAGTTAGAGCACTTCTGAATTTTTGTTTCTGGGAGAGAAAAAAAGCGAGTTTTGTTGCATTCCCTCGTTTTTGTTTTCCAGACTCACTTGGAACCTTATTGTTGTGCTGCTTGTAACTGTTTTAAGAGGGTCTATTTCACTCCCATTCTTTAGAGAGTGCAAGCTGCAGTCAAACTGATGGACCTCTTAAAAGTTAAATACCCAGCTGTTGCTGCTTTATGTGCTAAGAACAGATGTTAAGGCAGGGCGTAGACAACCGTATGCTTTTGAAAGATCCAGTACTGAATCTCTACCTTAGATGAGATACTGAGCAACACAGTGAAATTTAGGACATTCATCAGACTTGAACTTCCTGAATTATTCTGGATAATGGTAGTAATCTATTCTTAAGTTTTAAAGTGCTCTGGGCTTTGTTGTCAGCTTGCTGTGTGTTGCCTCTTCTGGGTCTCAAAATTTTAAGTATTGCTGGTGCATCTGCATGGGGAAAGGAATTCTGTTTCATTACAAAATTCTCAGTGTGTTCTTGTAACACAATGCACATCTGTATCTGTAGTCGTTTTTTCCAACGAGGTGTGCATGTATCGTAAACACAAAATCATAGTGTGTTGAAAAGGGAGGGAAGTTGCAGAAGTCAGCTGGTCCGTCTGTCTTTCCCACGGCACTTCTCTCAAGCTGTTCTTTCTCTCCTGTTTCACAAAGCTCCTCCTGTAGTGGAGATTTTACAGTCTCCCCAGTCACCTTACAGCGTCTCACTACTGTGTTGCTGGAGTTTAACCCCATTACCATGCTGCAGTGTAATCCTGGTTTGATTTCTCTGAGCCATTCTGAACAGGGAGAACAAATTACTGTTCTTTCCATTTGTCAGCCTTTAAAGGGTTTGAAGATGTGTCATCTTAGCTTCTTAAACACATCAGTTCTGGTCTTTGAGTTTCCTCTTGTAAGTCATATTTACTAGGTCTGTAAAAATTCTCACTGCTCTTTTTTGCATACTGTTTCATTTGTCTATCACTTTTATGCATCTGAAAACAAATATGCATTGGTACCAGAGATCTTGTTGAATTTTGAAAGCAGGGTGGAAAACTTCATGTTAGTTTCAGGCTGTGTTTCTGTTTCTTACATCCTGGTGTGATGTTTCCTCTGTTTTTCACAGTATAGCTCCTAGTTTCTCCCCCTCCCTGTATGTGTTGCCTAGCTGACTTCCAGTGTAGCGTTATACCTCAGTAGGAAAAATAATCAGCTGTGGAAGATTTGATACTTGCTTATACTGACTTGCCTACTACTGTTCACACATAATCATAGAATCATAGAATTGTTTAGGTTGGAAAAGACCTTTAAGATCATCAAGTCCAACTGTTCCCCTAACACTGCCATCCCACCACTAAACCATGTCCCTGAGCACCTCATCTACTCGTCTTTTAAATACCTCCAGGGATGGGGACTCGACCACTTCCCTGGGCAGCCCCTTCCAGTGCCTGACAACCCTTTAATTGAAAAATTTTTTCCTAATGTCTAATCTGCCCTGACACAACTTTAGACCGTTTCCCCTTGTCCTATCACCCGTTACCAGGGAGAAGAGACCAATACCCACCTTGCTACAACCTCCTTTCAGACAGCTGTAGAGAGTCATAAGGTCTCCCCTCAGTCTCCTCTTCTCCAGACTGAACAGCCCCAGTTCCACCGGCCGATCCTCGTAAGACTTGTGCTCCAGACCCCTCACCAGCTTTGTTGCTCTCCTCTGGACATGCTCCAGCAATGGGGAGTTGCAGTGAGGGGCCCATAGTATTCGAGGTGCGGCCTCACCAATGCAGTGTACAGGGACACAATCACTGCCGTGCTCCTGCTGGCCACACCATTCCTTATACAAGCCAGGATGCCATTGGCCTTCTTGGCCGCCTGTGCACACTGCTGGCTCATGCTCAGCCGGCTGTTGACCAACACGCCCAGGTCCTTTCCCACCATGCAGCTCTCCAGCCACTCTTCCCCATGCCTGTAGCATTGCATGGGGTTGCTGTGACCCAAGTGCAGGACCCGGCACTTGGCCTTGTTGAACCTCATACAGTTGGCCTCGGCCCATTGATCCAGCCTGTCCAGGTCCCTCTGTCTAATACTTTGGTTTGTTGGGTTTTTTTGATACATGAGCTTGTCCCTTGATCTGTTTGTTTTTCAGTGCCTTTTGTGGACTTGATAACCATACTGTATGCTAGGAAACTGTTTCTACTTTTCCAGTCTTTATAAAAAGGAAAAGGGCAGGTTAGGTTCCAGAATATGTCTTCAACCAAAAATTCTACCATTTGGTTACCAAACTTTGCCATTTTTGAAACCTCTGGCTTCTGTATTACTTTCTAACCTTTATTTTTTTTTTTAAGACTATGCTTTTATTTCTTTCTGATTTTAAATAATGTCATCCACCAGATTGCCATCTTTTTTAATAAGCATTCAAAAAAAGCACTGTGACTTTCTACAGGTGTTTGCTACTAGCTTTTATTTTAGAAAAGCACACTTTTCTTGGTCTGACTTGTTTTATCAAATTTCTTGTGCATTGTATTCCTTCTGTATTGTCTGTTGCTGTCTGTAGCAAAAGTTTCTTCTTCAGATTCTCCTGTATTTTTAAACATGGAAGATAAGCACTTGATAATGAAAAGAAGCTCTTGGTAGTGACTTGACTCCTGTAAGTAAACTTCCTGCATTTAGCATCCTGAGATGGGCTGCGGGAGATGCTCTGGGAAGAGGCAAGTTTGTAAGGTTGTGAAAATGTGTCGTATTAGAGGTGTCCTGATCCAGCCTGCACCTCAATTTTTTCCTGACACATATTACTTGATTTGGAAACAGACAACGTATTTTTAAAGATAAATGGTTTTGAATGGCCAACAATAATGGTTGATAATATCTGAGAACTACTATGCACGCTATTTAATTTCCTTCTAATGTCCGTCAAGAACCTCTCATTTAAATTATTTTGCATCCTTGACACCTGCTTTCCAGTGTAAATGGCTTTTCTCCAGAATCGTGTCAGATCTTTTTTGGAGTTACTGCCTGTCTCTCTCAGGTAAGAGGTGAATCGTATTTCAGTCTACTCCAATGTAAAATATGTGTGTGATGCTTTGTTTTTTTGAGTTTTTCTGTTGTACTCTGACTTTTTTTTCTGTATGTTAGGTGAATTACCACCTAAACTCTTTTTTTCACTGAAAATAAGGGCAAGAACATTTCAAACTGTGAACATTCAATCAGTAATTTATCTTGTATTCAACTGTATGGTGATTCTCAAATGCAGAGAACACTAGACTATAAATTATTTGCTCCTATTCTTCTATTTCTGCATTATGTTGTAGTTTAACCCGTCAGGCAGCTAAACACCATGCAGCCATTTGCTCACTCCCCCCGCAGTGGGATGGGGGAGAGAACTGGAAAAAACCTAAAACTCGTGAGTTGAGATAAAGACAGTTTAATAGGTAAAGCAAAAGTCATGCACACGTGCAAAGCAAAACAAGGAATTCATTCCCTGCTTCCCACCGGCAGGCAGGGGCTCAGCCATGCCCAGGACAGCAGGGCTCCATCACGCATAATGGTGACTTGGGAAGACAAACACCACCACCCTGAATGTTCCCCCCTTTCCTTCTTCTTCCCCCAGCTGTGTGTGCTGAGCATGACATCATATGGTGTGGGGTATCCCTGGGGTCAGTTGGGGTCAGCTGTCCCGGCTGTGCCCCCTCCCAGCTCCTTGTGCCCCCCCCAGGCTCCTCGCTGGTGGGGCGGGGTGAGAGGCAGAAAAGGCCTTGGCTCTGTGTCAGCCCTGCCCAGCAGTAACAAAACCATCCCTGGGTTATCAACACTGTTTTCAGCACAAATCCAAAACATGGCCCCATTCTGGCTACTGGGAAGAAAATTAACTCTACCCCAGCCAAAACCAGCACAATTAACACAATATTTATTCAACATACTTTACCTGCTTAGGCACTGAAACCTTAACAAGGGTGCCAGAGAATAAAGTGGAAAGGTGGTGCTTCGATGCCTTGTGTTGATAGCCAGCTCTGCAGGTCTGCCAGTAGCCTGTTGGTGAGCCGTGTGCGTGCAGAAGGACAGGACAAGGCCCTAGGTGCTAATGGAATATATGCGTATATGTGCTTTGGACTTTTTAACAAATGATTCCTGTAATAGTATCACTAGTTCTGAATGGTAATGGCTTAAATACATATGGCTTTCTTGGCAGGGGAGGGAGGATGTTGCTGTGATATAAATTGTTAGAAATAAATACTTCATGTGTTTACACAGGCTATTAATTTGGTCTACTCATTAAAATTCTGTTTAATGAATTTGAACAGGCTGTCTAAGAGAAATAATTCTTATTTCCTTGATCACTAACTTTTTTCTCTTGCAGAAGGTGATATATTAGTGTTGAGTTTTACAGGAGTGAAGAATGTTTTCATTTTCTCTGTGCAGGTTAAAAATGATTGTTTTAATGTCTTTTCTTTTTGCATTTCTTTGTCACCCTTTTTTCTCTGTAACTTTCATGCTAATCTGGTATTTAAAAGTGATAGGTAATACATTAACCAGAGTTGTAAATGGTATGTCATGGATTGTACTAAAATTCTTCAAGCAGAAGGCAGTTGGTTGCATAGAACTAAAAGGCTCATTTACTTCCCTTTTAGGTTTCATCTGAAGACCGAAGTACACTGTGGGCTTTGATTACTTTTTATGGAGGGAATTGCCAGCTGAGCCTCAATAAGAAGTGTACTCATTTGATTGTGCCTGAGCCAAAGGGGGTAAGAGTTTTTTACACATACAGTTACTCTTCTTGTAGCTCTCGTTTGTTTTTGAATAATCAAAAATTTTCCATCTCCCTGAAGTTAGAATTCTTAAGACTGTTCATTAGTCTTGAACAGCTAAGATCAAAATAATTATGCATTGCAGCTATTCAGTTCATATTTATTTTCTGCATGGCTTTAAGCCTTATTAATTCAAAAGATGTCCAATTTCTGGTTGAATAAAGCATTTTATTCTTTATTCTGTTTGTCTTGACCTAATTTTGACATCATGATCATTAGTGATTGTGATTTGTAAATCTGTACGATACAGAATCAGTGAAGAAAAATGAAGGACAAAATTGAAAAATGGTGTATAATGCCCTTTGATGTTAAGAGGGAGAGAGGAATAAAGAGAGCAGAAGGAGGAACAGGTTATTTTTTCTTAAAGAAAAAAGAACTCTCAAAATCCCTCCAGTCATTCCTCTTAGAGAGATGGTAGGATAAACAGTACACAGCATTCCTGTCCAACTGCTGATAAAGTAGTTGTACTTCAAATCACTCCCATCATAGAGTCATAGAATATCTCAAGTTGGAAGGGACTCATAAGGATCATTGAGTCCAATTCCTTACTCCTTGCAGGACTACCTAAAACTAAACCATATGACTAAGAGTGTTGTCCAGATGCTCCCTGAACTTTGGCAGGCTTGGTGCTGTGACCGCTTCCCTGGGAGCCTGTTGCGGTGACCAACTACCCTCTTAATGAAGAACCTTTTGCTAATGTCAAATCTGAACTTCCCCTGACACAGAATCACAGAATGGCAGGGGTTGGAAGGGACCCCTGGAAATCATTTAGTTCAACCCCTACATTGCTTCATTCCATTTCCTCGTGCCCTATTGCTGGTCACCAGAGAGAGGAGATCAGCACCTTCCCCTCTGCTGCACCTACCTGTGAAGATGCTGTAGACTGTGATGCAGTCACCCCTCAGCCTTCTCCAAGCTGAACAAGCCAGGTGACCTAAGCTGCTCCTCATAAGTCTTCCCCCCGAGACATTCTACCATCTTGGTGGCCCTCCTCTGGACACACTCTAATAGTTTGATGTCTTTCTAAGTATAAATTGAGGTGCCCAAAACTGCACACAGTACTCAAGGTGGGGCTGCACCAGAGCAGTGTAGAGTGGGACAATCACCTCCCTCAACCAGCTAGCTATGCTTTCTTGATGCGCCCCAGGGACATGGTTGTCCCTTGTAGCTGCTAGGGCACACTGTTGAGTCATACTCAACTTGCCATGAACCCAAACCCCCAGATCTCTGTCTGAGGGGTTGCTCTCCAGCCTCTCATCCCCCAGTTTGTACATACAACCTGGATTACCCCATCCTAGGTGCAGAATCAGGCACTTGCCCTTGTTAAATTTCATACGGTTGGTGATTGCCCAGCTCTCTAATCTATCCAGATCTCTGTAAGGCCTCTATACCCTCTAGTCCACGGCTCCTCCTAATTTAATATCATCATTAGACTTGATACTCCTGTGTAGGAAGTCAAATGTTGCTGTCTTTATGCAAATGGAGAAACTGAATCAGAAAGATTCAGTATTAGATTATTTAGATTGGGTAACTAGCTAAAGGCAGCACTGAGCACATCAGAATAGCCTTCTCTGCTATAATGCTAGTAATGCTTCGGTTATAATAGTTCACTGAAACTTCAAGTAGTGTTCAGGTACTCCTCTTCCTGAAGAAGAAATACATTTATAATTGATTTAGTGTGGTGGTTCGGAGACCGAAAATACTTAGAACACGTTGAAGCTCATTTAAAAATGATTGCTTAGGTGCTTTTAGTTAATATAGTGGATGGAGCAACTTTCTGGGTTTGTTTTTTTATGTTTTATTTTTTTGTCCTTTAATAACATGAGCACATTTCCATTTTGCCTTTTTTTTTTTTTTTTTTTGATTTCCAGTCAGGGGAGGGCTCGCACAGGTCAGTTATTTGAATGTGAGTAACTGTTAAGATCAGGTTCTATATACTAGCTCCTTACATAAATCTGTAAAACTTTGCCAAGTTTGTAATGTTGTTTTATACAAATTGAGTGTATTATTGTCCCATCAATGACCCTTTTGATATTTTGGAGTTAATGTAAACTATCTAATACTAAGATAGAGAAGAGCATGTGGCTAGTAGGATGACAATAAACTTAGGCATGCAACACATAGGGAACTGCTTTAGAATGAAACATGGGCTGGCATTGGGAGAAGAGAAAGTGTAGACATGGGAAATGCTTGCTTTTTCTTCCGTTTCATTTAAAACAATAAGAACCTTTGTGGGTTTGTGTGTGTGTGTGTGTTTGGTTTTGGTTTTTTTTTTTTTTTTGAGTGCATGGTCTTTCTTCTGTGGAAGTTAGAAAGGTGTACTGAACACCACCCTAGTTGTCTCCTCCACCACAACAAAACGTAATGCTTGGAGGAAGAGCTTTGCTGCCTAAATGGTGTCTTTAAGAGGCAAAGATATACATGTAAAAAGTATTGTCTTAAATCTTAGGGTTTTTAGAGTGAAGGATGTTGTCTTGAGCTTGCCAGTCAAGAAACTGAAAAAAGCACATTAGCATTTCATATCTGTAGGATAAAAAAAATCTTCTTTAATTTATGTAATCATTGAATGGGAATAATTTTATAGGACAATTACTTAAAATGTTTCTGGTCCTGCTGCTCTGACATGCTACTACAAGGGATTCTGCAGCAGTTTGTAATGAGAACAGTTTTGACACTAGTGAAAACGTAAATGATTGCTTTGACTAGACACAAGATGATAAAACAAGATTCTTAATAATTCTCACCACGAAGAAAGAACGAAAACTCATATCTGCAAATAAACTTGGTTTCATCTGTAATCTCTTTATTGTGTATGAATGACAGTTTCATTGTAGAAAATAACTCTAGAGAATCATTAAATTAAATTAATTTCCTCTGAATGTGCTGGTTGTTAATTTATATTGTTTGACGTACAAAGAAAATCCCAGTTCAATCACTTTTAAATATTAGATCCTGAAATTAGTTTCAAATCTTCTGAAGAAAGTTTTCTTTTTTTTTCCACTGTCTGAATATTTGTGAGGGGTTTCCATCAAAGAGGATGTTTGAATAAATAGAGCACTGATCCTGTGTCTATTTTTATTTCTTAGGAAAGGAAACGGTGAAGTTTTACTATTTGTATTTATCTTCAAATGACAAAATGATAAGGAGAAAGGGAGGGATAAAGTTTTCTACTTTGTCAGCATCATAACCTCTCATTGAAATGGATTTAGCTAATATTTGGACAGAATTGTAACTTTCAAGTTGAGGGCAACATTACAGTTTGCAGCTTCTGAGAAGGTGTATGGGAAATACCTGGCCAGTTTCTGATCTGTATTCCTGCCAAAACGTATTTTTTTCAGTGATCACCTTGTAAATACTTGTCTCTATTTAATTGTGAAATGCTCTTTTTTCCCTAAATGCTTTTTTTTATGTTGGTTTGTTTGTTCATTTTTCACTTGTTTTAGTGGCAAAAAATGTAAGTACAAAATATATTTAGACTCACCCTAATGTCCACCTAAAAATCAGCTGCATCTTAGCATTGACTGTGATGTTCCTAGCTGCTGGAGTTCTGAAGGCTTTTTTTCAACCATATTCCATGATTTTCAAATCCTTTGGTGATTGGGTTTGAGAAGAATTTGGGTAGTGATGTTTTTGCAAGTGAAGACTTAATCTTCTGTGGTTGTGCCTTCTGAGTACAGAATCATTTAGATTGGAGAAGACGTTTTAAGATCATCAAATCCAGCCATTAACCTAGCACTGCCAAGTCCACCACTAGCTCATGTCCTTAAGCACCTCGTGTACCCATCTTTTAAATACCTCCAGGGATGGGGACTCGACCACTTCCCTGGGCAGCCTGTTCCAATGCTTGACAACACTTCTGGTGAAGAAATTTTTCCTATTGTCCAATCTAAACCTGCCCTGGCACAACTTGAGGCCATTTCCTCTTGTCCTATCTCTTGTTACTTGGGGGAGGAGTCTGACCCCCACCTCGCTACAACCTCCATTCAGACAGCTGTAGAGAGCCATAAGGTCTCCCCTCAGCCTCCTCTTCTCCAGACTGAACACCCCCAGTTCCCTCAGCTGCTTTATGTTGTAAATGTGTCCATTTACACATTTACAATGTGAAGGTTTTTGTTTCATCTCTTTGGCACTCCTGTTTATGCACAGCAGTATAGTTTGTCCTGTTGGTTCTGGGAGAGATCACTTTCTGGTATTGGACAGCCTCTTGTAATCTGCCTCTCCATGCTCTAGCCCTGCCCTCAGAAAAGTTGTTTGGGATTTTTTGTCTTTAAATAAGATCTTTTATTTTTTTCCTCCCCAGGAAAAATATGAATGTGCTTGTAAACGGGACAGCATTAAAATTGTGACACCAGACTGGGTACTGGATTCTGTAGCTGATAAGACTAAAAAAGAAGAGATTCCTTATCATCCTCGTTTAATTATATACGAGGAGGAAGAGGAGGAGGAGGAGGAAGAGGAGGAGGAGGAAGCAGAAAATGAAGAACAAGATTCTCAAAATGAAGCTAGCACTGATGAAAAATTATCAAGCCCAGCATCTTCTCGAGGAGGATCACCTTTGGGTGATCAAGTTTTTTCACCAAAATCTACTACTGCTGACAAGGCAAAAGGGGAACTGATGTTTGATGATTCTTCAGATTCCTCTCCAGAAAAACAAGAAAGGAATTTGAATTGGACACCAGCTGAAGTCCCACAGGCATCTGCAGCAAAGCGTAGGTTGCCTCAAGGGAAAGACTCTGGGTTAATTAATTTATGTGCCAATGTCCCACCAGTGCCAGGTAATATTTTGCCTCCGGATATGAGAGGCAATCTAATGGCTTCAGTACAAGGTGCCCAAAGTTCTGATCGACAAGAAATGATGGCTACGTGGAGTCCAGCCGTGCGGACATTAAGGAATATTACTAATAGTGCTGATATTCAGCAGATTAATAGACCATCAAATGTAGCACATGTAAGTGTTGGATTTTTAATTTATAAGATATTGGACTTTTTCTTAGGAACCATCATATCCAAGAACTTCAATTTCCTTTTATTGTTCTTTAAATGTACAAAGGACTAAAAGTTCTCCTTTGTTGTGGCCAAATTAGTAACCTCCCCATAAGGAACTTCATTTCTAGCAGGTTCACAGAAGTAAGAATGCATTTGGAAAAAATGTTTGGAAGAGTAAAGCTGTGTTTACTTATAGCGTGGTTTAGAGTTTCAGTATGGATTTCTTGATAAGAGCAAAAAAAGTATATTCATTAATTTAGAATTATTTGGCTAGTTCAGGAAACCTGATTTCATACCCTTCAAGCTTTTTATTCAGTGTAAGGAATTATTTGTGCTATAAACACATAAAACTCTGAAATTGATTGTTCTCACAGTAGGTTCAGTTCTATACTGTGTTGTTCTGCTGGGCATCATTAATTTGGTATATAGTATAGTCAGGATTGTGATGCGTAAGTCCTAATTTACAAGTTCTTATGCCACTCGTATAGTTGAAATAATTGCAGCTTTTGTATTGAATTTATTTTTAGAAGAAAATAAAAAGCGAGTGAGCATGTACTGAAATAACTTGCAGCATTGAAATTCTAAGGTGTTCATGGGAAGGGAACATGAGAAAAGCAGGTGCTGGTAAATGTTAGACATATATTATTACTTAAATAATTGTACTGGTACATTTGTTTGGATGTTCACCTGAAGGTAAAACTTTCAAAGGTGCCTGAATAATACGGAAGCTTACATCTAGTACTTCAACACAAAAAGTAGAGTCACTCAGAAGTGTTGGTTCTTTGTTGTCTGTATGACTTCTGAATACGCAATGGAAATGTAGGCTTCCTTTTAAAACCTGAGTCTTAGATTCCTCTTCTCAGTGCCTTGAATTGATTAAGGACTGAGACTTCTGTGTAAGGATTGAGCAGAACCACCAAAGTCTTGGTCGGTTGGCCCATGCTGGTAAGTTGGCTGATGCTTTCATGTCTGAACACCACATCTACAACCCAGTCGTGTTATCAAATACTCTTTAGTGGACTTACTCTTCTGTAAGTAATATTTATAGAGCTACAGGGCAGTTGATGGTGTCGTGCTTCAGCTAGACTTTGTTCTCCAGAAGTCTGTTAGACTAGGGACTTGACTATGGTGTGCAAGGACTGCTCTCAAGTACCGTATCAGGCTGCTGCGTAGGTTGCCGTGCTAGCTCCAGCACGTGGAGAAAAGCTTTGCATCTTAGCATAGCAAATCTGATTCTTAGAGGGAGGAATACCAATTCTACATTTTTCCTTATAACTTCCCTCTGGCTAGGTTAAATTGTACTTTGTATCCTGCTTGGGCACCAGTCTTGGGTGGATTCCATGTCTTGGTGCACAATCTTCGAAAGTTAACGTTTAAGTTGAACCTCAGATTTCTGCTGAATGGCATGATCTGTAATAATAAGGCATTTTGCAGGTACAAAGTTACTTTCTGAATATACCCCTCGGATACTTTTGAAAGTTTTATCCCTTTATTTTGAAATATGTGTCCTGAAGCTTCTGTAATTTTGACTTTTGGGACTTCTTGAGGAGAGTAGCATGAAGATCTCTCCTCGTACCGAGCCGTGGAAACATTCTTTTTTGTATATGTTATTTTTAGTTATTGAATGTTTATACTGTGGTGCTGTCTAGACATTAGTGATGAGTGATGCATTGATAATTGTGGTTGTAAATGTATACTATACCAAAACCATCCAAATTACTGAGGTGAACCCTGAGTTGTTTTGAAGTGCATTGTAAAAAAAACACTTGAGACACCTCTCATAAAGAGTTGATGGACGTCTCATTGAGAAGTTACAGTTAATTGGCTTTGTGTTTTGGTGATGTGCTTTGATTCCTCTGTCTCTTACACACACCCATCACTGAAGTTTACGCTGTATGTGATGAAGTGGTGTGGGTGAAGGAAATAATTTTTGCAGGATTCACCAAAGCTGATTTCATGTGTAAAAGTTTTTGTGAATGGTGAGTCTAGAGTTTCCTATGGCTCCTTCTAATTTTTAATAGGTAGTTTATATTAAAATATTTTAATAAATATGTAGAACTCATCCTAATCTATTAGGAATTTGCCTATTTTTACCTTTTCACTTGCTAACTTGTGTCTGCTTAGTGTGAAATTATTTTTCCCTTAACAGTGAATTATACATAAAAGTGAAATTAAAGACCAGGTTATTTCAGCACTTTGTATAAATCTAAAATCTATTATTCTTAAGTATGGGTTGGTTAGGTTTGGGTTTTTTTTCCCCCGAGAAACTATTAGTGCTCAGCAGATCAATGTTTTTTCTTTGTATTTTGGGATTCAGTTTAAAAAATAGAGCTAAATATTCCTGAATTGGTTCAAAAGAAAGCAAAGTTGTATTAAGTTCCCATGTTTCAAAGAGCACTAATTAGTAGAGGCATTATTAGCAATTTCTAAGTTAAAGAAAATAAGACTATGGAAGTAAATTAAACTTTGAACTTAACGAGCCATGAAGATTGTAAAATTAATATTACAGTCGATTGAGTTGATCAGTGTAATTATTAACATAGTGTTAACTGTCATAATGCTATTGGAGATATCAATTATACAGGGATGGGTTTGAGTCTTAAGTTTTGCTAAAATGCACATTGCCTTATATTAGGAGCCATACGTAGCTTCATGCTTTTCTATGTGTAAGTCTTGTCTTTTCATTTTGCTCTTAACAGAAGATTTTTGTTTAGCTCACGATGTTTTTAAGCATAGGATTCTTTTCTTTTGAGAATTGTATTTTCCCAGTAGTTCTTTAAATATTTTTAAAACTGAATGACAACAAAAAGGTCACAAAACTAATCTTTGTTTTCTAGATATTACAATCACTTTCAGCACCTACAAAAAGTTTAGAACAACAAGTAAATCATAGCCAACAGGGACATCCAAATGCGGTGCTGTTTAGTCAAGTGAAACTAACACCAGAGACACATTTATTACAGCAGTCACATCAAGCACAGCAACAACAGCACCATCCTCTTTTACACCTTCAACCTCAACAACTTATGCAGCTACAACAGCAGCAGCAGCAACCCCAGATTGCCCAACAGTCTTTCCAACAGCAGCAGCCTCATCAGTTTTCACAACAGCAGCAGCAAGTTCATCAGCAGCACCAGTTCGCACAACAGCAGCTTCAGTTTCCACAGCAGCAGTTACACGCCCAACAACAGCTACACCGCCCTCAGCAACAGCTCCAATTCCAACAGCAGCATGCTTTGCAACAGCAACTTCATCAGCT